AAGCCTACTCTCACTTACCGAAGGGAGGGCCTTCTAAAGCTTTAAATGGAAGGTTTACGAAGTTTATCGTTTGTGACCGGAGTTGAGTCTTTCGGAAATGATTCATTGTTATTCTCGTTTCTTTCCATTGGAATGTTGACGTTGTGTGTACCGCCGGACAGGACTGATTTGCAAATCGGACGATGACAGCTCGGCGATTAGGAAACACCAGCGCAAATTGAGCAACTCAATTTGGGAAGGAACGTTTGGCTCTAGCCGCATGAGATCAGGAACAAGGTCGAGGAGTGTGATGTTGAGAAACGAGAGATGAAAAAAGACCCACGAGCGACCGGCAGTCGGTGGCTGGTCGCCGTCGGAAGTGGCTTATCCATCCCCTGACCTTTGCGTTCGTCATTGTCATTAGTCGTTTTTGGTGTCGACAAAATCTATTTACCAAGTCAACACGAGTCAAATCCGAGGACGTTTTTCCTGTCGCGGTATGAATGGCCGTGTTTGCCGTTGCTCTTAGACGTCAAGCACGTGCACCGTTTACCGTTGCGACGAACACCTCTCGACGACCCGATCGTGCTGTTGTGCGTTTCGACCGTTGTTCGCCGTTCGGTGATGGCTAACCGGTGGTTCTGTCCGGCATTGCCGCCGCTGTTGTTACCCATGTGCAGTTGTCGTGAATGAACTTGGCGAAGCCGGGAACAAGCCCCGGCTTCGCGGGAGGGAGAGGGGTGTGAAGAACTCGCTAATGTCGTCAGCTTTGTCGAACGTAACGCTGTTTCTCACCTGAGTTTTTTTTTCGAACGTTCGTTCTTTGTGCGGCGGCGTCTAAGGTTTTTCGCATCGAACGAATCCGGCCAATTTGGCTAAATGATTCCAATTGTACTTCGTGAAAGTTGTGAATCCCTCATGTCAGCGCGAATCGCGTTGCTCGACGCCAAGTTGCTAATTATTGCGACACGAATAAACGCAAACTACCCTGGTGAAAGGCCCCAGAGTCTCAGCCTCGTCCTCCGCCGTCAAGCAAACATTGCACCGCGTCGTCATTAACAATTTGCATCACTTGCTGCCCTCCGTAGAGTCACCCCACTTCAGCTCATTTGCAATCATAGTAACTCAGTCGATGGAATGTCGGACTCACAGTAGAAAAATAGTCAGTTATAGTCCCGACCGGATAAAGTGCCAATCGTCATTCAGAGGTAGAAGAACGAGTAGCACGTCCCATGTCTAGTCTAAACACGAGACTGCATGCTATAGTAATCATGTAACTGTAGGCATTACCTTATAAATTCATGGCATTGTTGGTTTATGACGTCATAGCGTATGTCAGCATTGTGCCACAAACTCAGTGACAGAAATCATTGCATGCTATACGTCGACTTGATGACGGTCATGTATTTTTCCTATCCACTTCACTTTGTCCGTATGGCAAGCAGCTAAAAGGGACAGAAAAAGCGAGGAGTCGCGAGTGCTGACAAGCGATTAAACTTACGACCAGTGATGTTTTATGCCTCGTTTATTGTTCAAGCTGTTGTTTCAGCAGAATGTTTGAGACTTGTCATTCTTTGGTGCAATCGACTGAATGGCAAAGCGTAAAAAGTGAAGGAGATTTGATAAATGAAATGTGTTTTTATATATTAAGAGTGGTTGCACTTCGTTTTCGTACTGAAATAATTAAGTAATAAATGAAAATAGTAGTGGTAAAAAAATTGAAAGCATTCTTGTAACTGTTGTTTGTCAGTTTCGATGTTGGGTCATTCGCCTTCCTTTTTTCCAAGGTTGATAAATGATTACCATTCACTCTGAGGACGAAACAGGAGACTGCATACGGTACTAGCCACGAGCTGTTGTTGATTCCGCCTTTAAACAAAGAAAGGCACTCTTTGCTGATAGCGCAGAATTGGAGGTTAGCGCCTTAGTAACTTCTTGGAAAGGAGAGTACAGAAATGGCCGCATCATGAAAGTGCAAGGAAGACCTTCCAACCGTTACGTACGTTTCGATGACCGCTTACCCTTCCAGATCGCGGAGGTGGCAGTGTCAGATTACAGTATCGTTT